CCAGTCCAGTCCAGTCCAGCTTCAACCCCACCAGCCTGGGCGCTTGCTTTGGCTCGCCGCTCGTTACATCACTTTGGGCGAAGGACCCTTGTCTCATTATTTGCCAGGGCTTATCTGTGCCTCTTCTTTCAGATTTTGACGTCCAGTTCTGCTCCAGTGTCACACGCACGCACCTCTGGACGGAATTCGTGGCTTCGACCTTGTGGGTGAGTAGAACCCGTCAACAAGTATCGTCACCTCATCAGCCAGGTCCGACGATCCGTGCTGTTCTCTGGATGCTAAGCGTTTGAGCAGAGCAGACGGCCGTTCAGATACCAGACCCAGCTTGGGCCAAGAACTTAAGCCGCCGGGTCCCAGAACGGCCAGCCGTTGCCACATTCCTCAGTCGACACGGGTGGTGACTCCGTATCAACGCCTTGAATCGACCTACTTCTCCTCCTCCTCGCAGTGCCTGCCACGCCTCAGCCGCCCCAGCACTCACGCGCCATCCCGGAACCTTAATCGACCTAGGGTCATCTTTTCAAACCGCTCCTCCCGAGGCTAGGGAACCACCAGAACCTTGAGCTCGCAAGGGTAACTGCGCCAAAAACCCCTTCACCCCGCGCCAGCCTCTTTCATCACTTTTCAGGACGACAGCTCTCCATCCTGGGCCATTCTTCTGCCCCATATTGCAAAGGATTGCTAATCTCCTGCCGACATATCATATCTCCGGCATCCTGAACCGTCGAAGCAGACCTGCCCACTGCCTATCCTGTCAACAACCGTTCCAACGCTAGCTTCCCTCTCCCACCACCACCGCCATCCAGGAGCATTTCTTGTGTCCATACGCATTCCACGCCGTGTCTTGCCGGGACGTGGCCGATATACCCACATGCTCGGCCACTTACGTCTCGCTCTATCATCTATGACTACACCGGCACTCAAGGTTCGGATCTGACCTTGCTCATCTGGCGGAACGTCCTCATCCTCGACCCTGTCTCTCGATCTTCGCCCCTTGTCCAACCCAAGTGAGTGGAACCGCGGCATATCTACGCATGTTCACTCGTCTTTCCCATTCTTGGTCTCCCCTCGCAGCGAGGCAAAAGTACATGCCACTCACACGTTGGAGATCATTGTCAACGCCAATTACAGCCGCCTAGGTCCCTTGGCTTGTAGACTCTGGCCAACCACAGCCGGTTCTCCTCTACTCACCAGCTGGCAAGGACTTTCGAATTTTACCGGGATTGTCTTGGGCACGAAGCCTAGACACAACCATCTCGCCATCTCCCTCTAGGCATTGACTTCCCTTCCTAGCGTAGCACCTACAAGGAGCCCCAGGCATAACGCCAATCCCGCAAGCAGATCACCAAAGCGCAGGTTGTGATACCCGCCCTCCTCAACTCTCCTAGTTACATTCTGGTCACCCAGGAGCCCCACCACGGCCTTTACCAACTGTTGTACGAGTTGTGGACAGAAGGTCCTGTGGCTCTGGACGACCTGGACCCCCCCTCCTGTGTGGCACAGCTCGAGTTCTCCAAAAACAAGTCCCTCTCCAACATCTCTCGCGCGGTCCCTCACACACCTAGGGAGTCTCCTTTTACGAAAAGCTCAGCCAACGGTCGGTATCTCGTCTGTGGCGCTGCTCAACAAGTAAGCTTTCGCCGGCTACTAGCCATCACCTCGTCGAAGCAGTGCCCATGCCTTGGTACAGGGACCAACAGTCTGTCATAGGAAACCATAGGTCTGAATCGCTCGTCCAAGCTCCTTCACCCCTCTATCTAGACAGATCAGCCTCTCAGAGGATCGGGCACCATCGACCCCACGACTATTTTCCCTGACAACTTTAAGAGACCCGCAACTTGGCTCGCTCGGCAGAATCCGCTTAACCTAGTATTTTCCAGCGCAATTCGCACCGTCATCCCGTGTTGCCACCGGCGGTCCCAAAGGGATACAGCTCCGTCATTTGCGCTTGTGTGGACAGAGCGTGCCAACTTTGCGGGAAACGTTGGCACACGCTCCACACTACGTTCCCGTCCCCTTGTCTCCCACTCGAAATCTAGACACCAATCACCTACAACCGCGACCATGGGGGACTATTACCACCACTTTCTCACCTCCATGTCCGGAGTGGCAGCCAGCCAGAACATGAGTCCACAGGATACCCATTCTCCTCAATTCCCCGGCGGCCAGATGCCCATGATGGGCGGCGCAATGCCGGGACCTTATCCCAACCTTGGATACTTCACTGGCTTTCCCGACCCCGTCGGGCTCAGCGCCCCCAAATCCTCCCGCAATCGAAGAAAGTCGGCCCCCGGTATTGACCATGTCAAGCACCGCCGCACAAGGTCAGGCTGCTACATGTGCAGAAGTAGAAGAGTTAAGGTAGGCTCGTGAGTCCTGCGCACTGCGCTTGTTGTGCTAATGACCATGACAGTGCGACGAGAGTCGGCCGATATGCGACAGTGTGTAAGCCCGGAACGAAATAGACAACCCGAAATAACTAACATGATCGCAGGATGTCGCAAGGGCAGCCGTGAGTGTATATACCCAGAACCTCCAGCAACCAAAGGCTCGGCAGCACAGACGGCAACTTCGAAAGAAGGCAATGCCACACAGCAAGCCAGTCCCGACTCTTCCAACGATCCAGAGGATGGAGAGGAGGACACAGAACCCGCCGGTCTTGACACGATTATTGACGAAGACGAGGGTGACGAAGAATCTCCGCATAAACACTTCGCAGGCCCCAGCAGAAGCAGCACAGCTTCTTCATTCAGCCTTCAGCGCTCTGGAGGAACCCGTGGAAGCTCCGAAACACCCTCGCATGAAGGAACCAAGAGTGCCTCGCCCTCGGCATCGGTGGGGACCTCGAGCAGTCAAGCTACGACTACATACGCGATGCCAGATCTGGGAGTGCTTTCTGTGAGCGGCCACGTCGATTGGTCTCATCTTCCCCTCGACATTCGACAACACCTCGAGTACTTTTGCGAAAATATCACCCACTATCATTATTGCATGCTGGCCGACGCACAAGAGGTGTTTCGTACACATCTTCTAAACTATGCGTTGCGAAACGAAGCTCTGCTTTACGCGGTCGTTGGGTTCGCCGCTTACCACCGCACAATCCAGGACCCTGACGGAAAGATGGAGGACTTTTTGAAGTATTACAACAAGAGTGTCATCTTATTGCTCAACTCTCTCAAGAGAAGAGAAAAGCACGACGTGACGACTCTTCTTACCGTGCTCCAACTGGCGACGATCGAGGTATGGAGTGTCAAGGACATTGGGATCCAGGAGTTAGCTAACAATAGGTCAAATAGGAGTACTTGGGCGACTGGATCAATCTGATGGGTCACCAGAAGGCTGCGTATGAGATGCTGGTACACCTATTTTCTCCCGAAACCGCCAATCATAGTCCAGTTGGCCGCATGATCGTGTCTTGGTACGGCCGATTCGACATCTTCATCGCCCTCATGGGCGGGTTTCCGACGATGCTGCCGAGGCAGTGGTTCACGACAAACGTCGAGTACTGCGATAAACAGGCTGCTGTGGACGAAGACAGCATGCATTGGAAATTGGAAGCAGAGTCTGGCAGGCTCAGGGTTATCTCCAGGGATATGTCAACTTTGTTTGCGCGAGGGAGCAGGGGGCAAATATCACCGGAAGATTTCGCCCTGGAGCACGAACGGATTCAAAAAGCGCTTCACGACTGGAAAGACGGCTGGGACCACGAGATGACCGACCCGGCCAACTTCGTGACGGACTTCAGCCATGCGCGGCCGCTGACGGAGGAGGACATTGTGGACCCCTTTGCGCCGGGCATCCTATACAACTTCCCAGCTTTCGCCACAACGATGCTCACCGGCGAGTGGAACTCTACGACGATGATGCACAAATGCCAATCGCCAACGACAAAACGGATGGAGCTATATCAAGAACTGATGGGCCACGCGTACGCGATCTGCCAGATCTTCGAAGCTGTCGAAAGCTGGCCCTCAAAACCGAAGGGCAGCCTCATCACAATCCAGGCATGCGTTGCTCTCTCGGCCTTATTTCTGCCGCATGATCCCAAGCATCACATGTGGATCAGACGCAAATTCGCGTTGTTGGAGACCATGGGGTAAGTTGCCACCCTTGACTAACTGTGCAGTCTCTATGGCCGCTGACAATGAACAACAGATATATCCACCCGATCACTCTGCGATCCAAGATGGCCGAGCTGTTCCAGGAGCCGTCCTGCGTGCGCTGGTGGCTGCCTGACGACGACGGATTCACGCCCATCCTCCAGAGTGTTCGCACCTTCGCGGATGAGCGCAATGCTAACGCGATATCGACTCAGGCGGAAAACCTACGGGAAGTGCGACACATTTTCGCCAAAATGCAGATGTATGACGATCCGTCAGCCCAAGGCGGTCAAAATCCGGCAGCGGCCTGATGTCGGACTCAGACATTATTTGCATCAAAACTTTCCTCGAGCCTCGTTTACGCACAGCGGATGAAGACAGTGATTCGGTCCTGTCCAGATCTGGCCCAAGAAGGCCAAGAGCATTGTCTAGCCATTCGATTTATTCACCATATCCATGTTGCCCATAAACCCAACCTTACCCGTTTCCCCCTTCTTGCATCTAGGCCATGTCTTGCGTTGCGGGCCACGCAATCTGGCGTTTTGTTCCGTTCTTCATGAGGAGGCTCACTGTATCATACATAACTTGACCCCCTTATCTTCGGCACACTTCCCGCCTTTTTCTTGAACATCTTTTTTCACCTTCAGTCCATGAGCGAAAAACAAAAACAGTCCCGCTAGACATAGACATGGTCTTGTTATATTGATACACTGTGATTGGTTGTCACCCATCACACTATTATAAAAGACAAAAAGTACTATACATCATCGTCCTCAATTCATAACAAGAGTATGCCCCCGCCTCTAGGGGGAGCAACTGCTGCGTGGCTCAACCAGGAGGAAAACATGGATGGCGTTTTTACCGTGCGCCCACTTCCAATAGTTAAGACACCAATTAACATCACGAATCATTCTTCTCCTTCGTCTCGGCCTCTTGTTTGGCCTCGTCTTTCTCTGATGCCTCGTCTTTGCTGCTGTCGTCCGCTGCGTCTGTAGTCGCCTTGGTGGGTTCCTGGGCAAAGTCATGCGTGCTGACGTCCTTATCAGCCGCGTCGTCTCCCCTGGTATCGTCTGTCTTTTCTTCCTTGCTAGCTCCATCATCTGTTTCCTCCGTCACGGGCTCCGCCTTCTCTGCTTCTGTCGTCTCAGAAACCTCGTCGGCCTCGTCGTTTGCTGGCGATTCGCCGGCCTCTTCCTCGTCCGCCATCACAACGGTCTGGTCCGCATCATCCAGTGACTCATCCGTTTTTTCAGGCTCCGCCTCCCTCTTGACCTCTTGCACCACCGGTGCTTGTTCCTTCTCCTCAGGAGACGGGACGTCCTCCATTATCTCCTTCTCCACTATGACAGGCACGTCTGCAACCTCGGGCTCCTCCTCGACAGTCTCCGGCGCGGAGATGTGCATGTCGCGCATCTTGCTCGCCACGTCGTTGTTGTCCTCTTCGTCGGCCTCCACAACGGTCGTGACCGCACTGCCAACCGAGGGACTAGCCCTGACGTGGCGTCTCGTAGCGGTCCGGCCCACGGGCTGGAAATTGTCGGGATCCTCGCCCGGAGCAAGGCCTTCGCGCTGGGGAGGCTTGACGATTGACATGGGCAGCTGCTTCTTGTCGGTGCCATTGCCATCCGGCACGGCCGTGGCAGTCTCCAGGCCCTCGGCCTCGGGCGGCAGCTTGTAGTTCTCGGCGGGGAGGAGCTCGTACATGTCGCAGACAGTCTTGAAGAAGACGTACAGCCCCGTCTGGCCCTCAATGGTCCAGAACACGGCGCGATGCTGGAACCAGGCGTGGGCGAAGATGCGGTGCAGTCTTCGGAAGACGTTGACGAGGTTCTTGACGGCGACGCCCTTGTTGTGCACATCTGACAGCACGACGAAGCGCGAGGGGAAGATCTTTGGGTCGGTGACGATGTTGGCAGCCCAGTCGAGCGTGTGGCAGCAGTAGTCAATGGCACAGCAGCTCTTAGGCTGCTCGTGGACGGCGCAAAGGAACTGCCACTCGGAAGCACGCATCTCGGGACAGGTGGCGGCGCTACAGGGCGGGGAGTCGAACAGAAACCCGACGATGAGGGTGTTGCATTGCGAAATGAGGAACCGGCACAGCTCGTACAGCCAGAGGGTGCGGTCGATCCCGGGCGGGGGGGTCGCGAGCTGGATTGCGGTCGTGCGGTTTATCGGGGTGCTGTTGCTGTTCGTGTGGTAGTAATGGAGGGCTGCGAGGTGCTCTTGGAGCTGGAATGCCGAGTCGAGCTACATATCCACGATGATTTGTTAGTATGAGGACGGAAGGCGCACGCAGCGTAGGCGCTTAGGGGGGTCTGGTCTTATCACGACCTCGGCCGGCAAGTACAAACCTCATTAAGGGGGACCAGCGGCGGCCCAGCTGCCATATCGGCTGCCTTGGTGCCCGGATGTATGCGGCGCCTTGAGTTGGCGTCGATCAGTGACTGCTCCATCGGGGAAGCCTGGCGATTTGACTGCGCGCCCATAGAGGGGGATTTGGGGCCGATCTGGATCTCTGCGGGCGGCGGTGGGCTGGGCAGCCGGGGCGAGCTCGGCGCCATTGACATGTTGCGAGAGCAAGGTATACGAGAGGCGATGCTTGCGAGCGAGAGGGAGGAAGACGAATTCGTGTCGGGAAGACTTTCGCGGGAAGATGGTGGGAGTGTGGTGTGTTTTGATCGGTGGTGATGGTATCGTGCGAAAAGTCGACCCGAGACGGGCGGCTGGAGCTCTCCAAGTCACACAGACAGCCACACACACACACACGCCGTGGGCACATTGGATAGAGAAGGTACCTCAATTTGGGGGCCAGAGCTTCCCGCCCAGTTCAGGTCGGACAGAGCCCCTACAAGGCTTAGTCAGGATCTGTCCTCTTTTCCCCCGGGGTGGCCAATATTACCTTAGACTGTCGAGTGGGGCCAGCCGACGTCAAATTCGCAATTGGCAGCGGTACGTACCTTGGTGTAGCCAAAGCTGCAATACCTCATCTCAGTCGCCTGCTTCACGTCTTGTACGTAAAACACGCCTTTTCAACGACGATCATAGACGTGCTTTGCACAAAACTGCGGACTCAAGTTTTCTCAACCTGGGTTCCGAGAAACAAACCTAGACCGTCATAACTCAGATTTGCACTTACAGAAAGACTACTGGTCCGAGCACAGTCACAGGGTTCCCCTCCATTCTGCACCATGGATTTCGACGACGATGCCCCGCCTGATCTGGTCGAGGCGGGAACTGTCGTCGATGACGATCTACCACCGTCTGACAAACAGATCAAAGTTCCCATCACCATCGTAACGGGATATCTGGGTGCCGGAAAGACGACATTGTTGAATTATATCCTGACTGCTCAGCATGGAAAGAAAATTGCTGTGATTATGAACGGTTTGTCTCATGACTTTGCCTGTTGGGTTTGGAATCTAATGTTTCGCAGAGTTTGGAGACTGTCAGTCAAACCAACTAAGTGTATTGAAATGATGCTAAACCTAACCAAGCACTCGATATCGAGAAGTCTCTCACTGTCAACAAGGGCGATGAGCAGGTTGAAGAGTGGCTTGAAGTTGGCAACGGATGCATATGCTGTTCCGTCAAGTAACTGTTCCCATTGAGACACGTGCCTATCAGACATACTAACCTTTGAAGGGATACTGGTGTCAATGCGATTGAATCCCTCATGGAAAAGAAGGGCGCGTTTGATTACATCCTCCTCGAAACTACAGGTCTTGCGGACCCTGGTAACCTAGTGCCCCTCTTCTGGGTCGATGATGGGTTGGGCAGCACCATCTACCTCGACGGCATCGTCACGCTTGTCGACGCCAAAAATATCCTTAGCAGCCTCGACGACCCCTCCGGCAAGATCGAGCTCGACGACCAGGAGGACGACCATGGCCACGGTCCGCTGATGACTACAGCGCATGTGCAGATTTCTCATGCCGACGTCATTGTCATCAACAAGGCTGATTTGGTGTCCGAAGAGGAGTTGGCGCGTGTTCGGGCCAGAATCGAGTCAATCAACGGTTTGGCAAAGATCCATGTCACGCAGAAGAGCCAAGTGCCGAGTTTGGAAGGCTTCTTGTTGGATTTGCATGCGTATGATCAGGTCGCAGAGCTCGATTTGGGCCAAAAAGGGCACAGTCACCTGGACTCTGTGCGTTCCTCCGAGATGGATATCACGCTTTGTTTGAAGATCCTCACTGACATGGCCGCAGACCATCTCTACTGTCTCGATACCCGTGCCTAGATTGGGACCTAGTCAACTTGCCAACGTCGATAAGTGGCTGAGAAAGATCCTCTGGGACCGCCGCTTACCTGGGGATGATGAAACAGTTCTCGAAGTGCACCGTGCCAAGGGTCGGCTTTCATTCGAGAATGGAGACGTGAAGCTCATGCAGGGTGTCAGGGAGATTTTTGAGATTCTTGACTCGCCCGATCCGACGCGTGAAACGGTGGGAGAAGGCAAGATCATTCTGATTGGAAGGTATCTCCAGGGCGTAGACTTTGAGAAGAGTCTTTTGGAGACTCTCAAGTCGGATGCATAGAAATAGAAGAACTTGCAAGCCGAAATCATGATAATGGTGCGCATGTCAAGGCTAATGCGTCACGTCGTCGACATGTACAGTGTTTCGCTGGCCAGGAAAGCAGCGAGCGTCACCCAGGTCCCAACAGCCCGATCTCATCATTTTAGGTTCGCAAACAGATTGTGCACTCGAATCTACAGCAACTCTTCCAGGTACGTTGCCTCGACGTGGTGGAACCAAGAGCAAGCCTCCATGCCAGAACCACGGCCCTGGCGTAATGCTTCTTTGTTGGATGTAGCTTTGGGTACACAGCAGGCGGTACGAGTCCTCTCTCAATGCTGGTCGAGTCTGCAAACGAGTGATGCAGATGGTCGGCAGCTAGGAGACATCTGCTTACAAAAAGACAATCGCTTTCAGGAAACGACTGACTGCTGGCGGTGATGAGAAGCACAGCCCGGCAATCAGAGCTCTCGGGTGATGTCGTCTCCAGGCACCGAGTGCCAGGGTCATGTAGCCAGACATGGGTCACATACTGATACGCCGTGGGTGAACCAACGATGTTGGATGCTGCGCCCGCAATAGACTCCGAGTCTGGACCCTTCAGGTCATCATCCCATGTACTCGGAAAGGAAGCGATGTCAAAAAAGGCTCTAGAGCGTGTAGCGCTTGCTCGCACTGGCTGCAGGGGTTATGGAGGGGCTCTGGGCGCACAGGCCATCGGGTCCATCTTTGACCGGTCTTCCGTGCGTTAGCGTTGACTGAGCCACTCGACCTCTCGACGCCTGTACACCAACAATCCCCGTAGAGCCTCATCCGTTGGTAGCTTCGTCGACAAAAATAATCTTTCGAGCGAATCCGACCCATCACCGATCCGAATTGAGCCCCGAGCCAGCCCCGAACACGAACGTAACTACGCGATTCTCGATTGCGACCATACAACTCACGAGCCCTAATCATGAATCGACCAGGTAGGCCAGATCCTCGCCCATCTCCTTTCAGCCTCGGGGGTACCCCGCCGTTTGCATGTCCATCAAGGCCATCTCCATCGTGCCTGCCAACACGAGTCCCCCTCGACTCTATATCCTCCATATGCCTACGTAGGATGCTGCGATAACGCACGCGACTTGCCCTGCCACTCTCAACCTGCCCACGAGACCCCGCCATCGCCGTCCAACATGGGATCATCAGGCTCTGCGCCAGGGCAAACAGCCGTAAAACGTAGACTGGCAAACAAACGCGCGACCTCTGCCATACATTTTCCATACCATTCAGCCCCGAAGCCAGTGGAATCTCGTTCAAAACAAAGCCGCTTTCCAAGTTCTCAAAGCTGACAATGGGGTCCCAAGTAGGAGCAGTTCCTCAATCACTGCGAGGCATACCGACAGGCTTTGGTGGCCAACAGCAACAGCAGCAGCAGCAACAACAACAACAACAAGTAGGAAGGGCAGTGTCAAATCGGTTACCAAATGGTAAACTAGGTAGGAGGACAGCCTTTGTCCAGGCGCAAGCACGTGCTGGAACATCACACGGATAAAGAGAGATCGCGACGTTAACATGGTGTGCTTGGGATCTGTAGGAAGTAATGGCAGTGGATGGGCATTTGGTGGAGGAGTGCCTATGGGAGGTGCTGGATTGCAAAATCCAGCTCGCCAGCTTGGAGGCAATGTCAGTTTTGCGCAGAGCTTAAGCGGGTCGCAACCGGCAACACCACTGGACCTTTCGTACGTTCCTTCCCCCTTCAAGCTGAACAACTTTGCGCACACCCTCCCTCTCGTCCTTGTTATTGTTGTTGTTGTTATCGTTCCCTCTTGCACCCTTTCCCACTCCCGGGAGCCACCCCAGCACTCGCACCTGCATTTTCGTCCTCAACCCACGATCACTGGGGGCAACAGCCATACCAGACAACAGACTCGCCTCCTGCTCCGCTCTGCCAGGGATCATTGTACTACCAGTCTTGTACCCTGTAGCCCTTCTTCTCCTTTTCATCATGGTCAGCAAGCGCAAGCGCATTTTGCTTCAGAAAAGCAGAAAGCTGAGGGACAAGATGGAGTCCAAGGAGCCCTCATCTGAGGATCACCCCAAGAAGGGCTACGCCGAGGTTTTGAAGACGTAATTTTATTTCCCATGGCCTCTCCTCTTCTTTTCTCATTTTTCTTCTATCGGTGGATTTTTACGTTTTTTTGGATGGCGTTGGTGCTGACTTTTGAAGTAGCGAATTCCCCTCGCTTTCCAACAACGCCCAGATGAACAGCAGCGGCCAAGCGAACATGTGGTCGTCAACGGCTTCACGGAACTTGGGCAGTGGCCCTGTGCCACCGCGGAACCAGTCGACACCGTTGTCTGCTCAGAACGCTCCGGAGGAGCTCTTCACTCCGACTTCAGCTCGCCAAGGCGGATTCCGGTTCGGTACTCAGAACAGCGGAGGAGCGGCGACCCAGGCGCCGTCTAACCCGGCGGACGATTTCCCACCGCTGAACCGTAACGCGAACGGTGAGATTGGCGGCGAGCGCGGTGTCAGCCTGATGCCCTCATTGGGCTTTGGCAACCAGGCAAGCGGCGTGGCCGCTGCGATACCTCCTAGTCGTGGTGCAGGAAACGGCCTGCTTAATGCTCTCTCCGCGAACAGCAGAACCTCAGATGACCGTTCACCATCTGCCGCCAGCGGCCAAGGTGAGAAGAATCATAATGGCTCACATCGCTCTCATACTCACACATACCAGGCCAGTCAAGATCACAAGAAGTGTCTGTGGATGACAGTAGACAGAAGGGAAGCGCTTTCCGCGATGAGGCTTCTGGCGATAGTTCATCTCAGTCTGCCGAGAACCGCAATCCTTTGGGTGCCATCGGCAACGACTCACTCACCGGCAAGGGCAAGGAGGAGAAGGACGGCCAAAGTCTGGAGGTGCAAGATCCTTTGGCTGGCCTGGCACCTATCGACAAGTTCGGCTTGAAGGGCCTGCGCATGTTGATGACCAACTACCCCAGCTACGGAGCGCTCATGCAGGGAATGGATCCCAACGAGTTCGGTCTCAACGTCAACTCTTCAGAGT